CTGAAAATGTTATGATTTTAAACTCTTAAAAATTGGTCCCAAAACTGAAAAAGTTATGATTTTAAACTCTGAAAGTTCGGCGCGCCCCTTACAATTTCGAAAATTGTACAAACCTTTTTCTTTGTCAAATTTGATAAAATAAATCTGTTGTTAAGGGCCTTCTGAATTTGAGGTGCCCATTCAAGAAATTCTTTTACAAGTTCCACCCCTCTACCTTTGGCGCGAAACAGCTTTAAAATCAAACACCCATCACCCATGGCCTCTAATACTTCAATATGTAAAATAATAGCATTACTCTTTTTGAATAATATTTTTTGGAGAATGTATGTTTAAAAAGTAATAAAAAGTTTTAAGTTTGCGTGAAGAATATTTAATTGTGAAAATATGTAGTTTGAAAATGAGTATAAGAAAAATGAGTTTTGAAAAAATGATTGTCAAATAGGAGCTAAATCTTTGCAAGTTTAAAGAAAAACCTTGTACTGAAGCTTTTTTAATGGGTAATTAGAACAAAACGTTTTTACATTTCAATATTATTGTACAAAAAATATCTACTTTTCCATATTTAGCATTTTCACCTTATTTTCACATTTAATTGCGAAAATTATTATGTTCATCCAATTTTTCAATAATAAAATGTAAAATAATAAATATACTTTCCTATTTAAATAAACAAAAAAGAAAAATTAAAGACCAAATTGCAATCATACTTCTAAACCTTTTTTAAAAATCACCATCTTCAATTAATTGAGAAAATGAATGAAGATGATGATTTCAATAATGAAATGTGAAATTACAAATAAATGAAAGATAGGAATATTTTGCACAATAATATTGAAAGGTGGGGACGTTTTGTGTTAATTACCTTTTTTATAATTTATTTGGATTCACTTGCAATTTAAAAAAAAAATTGGGAATGTGAATAGGAGGATATATTTGTTATTTTACGTTTTATTTATTGAGAGATTGGATGAAAATGATGATTTTCGCAATGAAATGTGAAAATAGTGGTAAAAATGTTAAAAAATGAAAGGTGTGGATAATTTGCACAATAAAATTAAAAAGTATGAACTATTTGTGCTAATTGCCCCATTTTTAATATTCTTTAGTTTCCAATATTTTTTTACGTAGCGTTTCATCTCCAAATTTTTATATATACAGCATTGGATTATCGACAGAGAAAGTCTATTGAAGAAATAATTAAAAAGTGACGTTTGTATTATGTATTTTCATAAGACAATTTGCTCTAATATTTCAAATTGAAAAACTTAAAAAGAGAAAATATTAACATCCTATTTGACAACCATTATTTGGGAGAAAAAGAGTTTTAAATAGTTGTTTTTAAGAGAATATGTGTTAAAAAGTAGAAAAAAATTTAAATTTTTGTAAAATATTTTATTATGTGAATATAGTTGAAAATTAGTACGAAAAAAAAGATTTCGAAAATAATGATTGTCAAACATGGTCTAGACCACTTTTCACCAACATGAGTGGCTCCACGTGTAAGGCATCCTAAGACCTCTTTGTTTTAGCAGCCCCTAAAATAAGAGTAAAATATTGAGTTTCGTATTCAACCAAGAAAAGAGCTATGTGTATAGAAAAGCTATATAGGACTCCTTTAGGATTTCAAAAACACATCTACATGCAAATGTGTTTTTGAATTTTACATGGAAAAAAAAAAAAAAAAAAAAAAAAAAATGGAAATGAAATTGGAATCGAAGTGAAAAAGGGCAATGAACCGAGAAAATCAATTCATTCCTAAATTTTTCCCAAAATCATAATTGCCATCAAGCAACTCCCTCAACAATCCGGCCCCAAAAATCTGATTCTCCCACGTGACGAAATTTGATTCATCGACTTGGCTCCCTCTGATGACTACAATCTAGCCCCAAAATCTATTTTACCCATGTGACTCCCTCCGAGGACAATCCGAGTAGCATTCAACAAAAAATCCAACTACTTCACCAAAGCCCGACTTTATCCATCTCCGAATCAACAAAGAATCAAGGAAATCTATGTACCTATCAAGATGGCAGACAAAGGTAATCTCTTTCTTGTTTATAATGTATACTTGATGCGTCCCTGCATTTTGCAACAAGTAAATACGTAGAAAGGTTCTAGATATGGGAAAGCTGTTTCGATTACCTGAGCAACATGTGACATTGCAAACAATTATATGGTTGTAATGATGTTTTTCAATATGTTAGGGTGTGATGTTTTGTTCTCTATGAAGTGGATTTTTTCATGCTTATATCACTTGAAGGTTGTTGTTAATCAAAAGTTGAAATGAAATTTATGGTAAAATAGATGATATTAAGTTTAATTTTATTTCATTATGAACTGAATTGTTCTATTAGTTATTGTTGTGTAATACCTTTTTTGTTGCAAAATTGTCATAAGAAAAGAGCTTATGGAAGATGAGAATCATGCTTTGTTCATGGAGTGATAGGGAGAACGTTACGGATGATGTGATCATAGTAGAAAATGAAAAATTATGAAGAGATGTTTCGACTGTACCCAAGGTGGGTATGATGTTTAATGGTTTAAAAGAGATGTTGGACTTCTATAAAAGATATGCATATAGCGTAGGTTTTCCAATTAGGAAAAGGAATTCAAAGAAGGGGGATGATGGAGCTCTGTAGTATGTGACATTGACATGCGTCCGTGAAGGCTGAAGAAGTTATGCTATAAGTGGTTCGTTGAAATTGCAACCAACAAGTCAAACAGATTGTAAAGCAAGGATATCTGCATCTTTGGATAATCTTGGAGTATGGAAAATTAATAAAGTGTTCCTTGACATCAATCATAAAATAATTCCTTCAAAGTTTAGGTTATTTCAATGCAATTGAGAATTAAGTATAAGTATAAAACGAAATCTTGAAGTAAATGATATAGCAAGAATTTCGTTGCGCAAGAGTTATAACTCCACAATGGTATAAGCGGGGGAATATGAAAATATGACATGCATGGAGAAGGATTGTCGGAACTATATTGAATAAATGAGACGATTACGTCTTGGAGAAGGAGATGTTGTTGCAATACAATCCTAATTTTCAGATATGCAAGCACGGTATTCGGGATTTTACTTCAGCATAGATGTAGACGAAGGGCCACGACTTAAGAACGTCTTTTGGACAGATAATAGGTGTAGGCAATTGTATAAAGAGTCTGCCGATGTTGTCACATTTGATACTACGTATCTCACTAATAAGTACAACATGTCTTTCACACTCTTTATTGGCGTGAATCATCATGGACGGTCAACACTACTTGGATGTGGGTTGTCATCAAACTAGGACATAGATACTTTTTTGTAGTTTTTCAGGACATGGCTTGAGTGCATAAATGGTCAAGCTCCCCAGGGCATAATTATTGATCAAGACAGGGCTATGCAAAATACAATTAAAATCGTTTTTCCAAATACAAGGCATAGGTGCACTGTGGCACATTTTGAATAAAATTGTAGAAGTTTGGATATCACGTTAAGAAGGGTTTGATATTCTCTACTATACAAGGACCGGTGTATGATTCACAGATTGTTGACAAATTCGAACAAGGTTGGAGAGTTATGCTTGATACATTTGATTTCTGGGATAATGTTTGGTTGTCGGGATTGTATGAGAATAGAACTTGTTGGTTCCTTACTTCTTGAAAACCTCTGGGTAAGTATGTCTACAACACAATGAAGTGAGAGCATTAATGCGCTCTTCGATGGATATGTGCATTCGAAAACCTCGTTCAGACAATTTGTTGAACAGTATGAAAGGACACTGAGAAATAAGGTTGAGAAGGAGTTTCAGGCTGATTTCAAATCATACGCTCACTGTTTCAAAGTTCAAGATGAGTTCATAGGGAAGGTTTATTGTGACATCATATCTGTTTTAGAGGAAAGTTTTAGGACGACGCATGAGAAAAAACTGTATTTTCTGTCTCATTTCGAAGGGAAACATGTGAATTACTTGAAATTGAATTCTGTGCAGGCATGAGATCGTAGTCTTCATCCTAATGACACCACTTTAAGATCTGAGAGGTACATACTATGGAGATGGCAGAGAAATATCAGTAGAACACATGCGAGGGTTGTTGTGCTATGACAGGCTGGTTAGTACTCTTGGGCAATTGAGATACAATGATATGTGTTGTGCTTTTTCAGAGGTGATAGATCTTGCTGCAGTTGATGAAGGTTGAACCCATTTAATAATGGATTGGATAAATTTGAAAGCTAAAGAATTGAGGGTGACGAAGTATACACTTGAAAGCAATTTGCTTTTACATCATCCTATTCCATTGTCTTCTCAATCGAACGCTTCGCAAAATAGTGGCATCGTCAGTGTACTAGATCCAACAACGTCAAAAAGAAAGGGTGCTCCAAGGAAACTTAGGAGGAAAAGCCCACTAGAGTTGAAATCGAACAAAGTAAAGGTATTTTTTCTCTATTATCCTACTTATTCGAAACGATATTTTTGAACCGATGCTCATTTAATTCAACTAACATACAGGCAACCTCAAATGCAAGTAAAGGAAAAAGACTAAAAGCAAGGGCTACCAATATAGAAGTTGTTGCATCAATTGTCCAAACAGCTCAACGTCCACAAAGTTCAACGCCGACCATTATCATATTCACAGCTTCTCTTGGTTAGTATTTAATTACTAAATGGTTGCTTTTAATTCATACTATTTAGGTTCTACTCTAATATTAAAGTGAGGAAAATGGTTGCTTTTATTTCGTTACCAAAAATATAAAGTTTTCAGTTCATTCTATTCTAATCCCAAATCATTTTGTAATGTTTATGTGGATAAATAATGAGGTAAAATAACTTCTTTCAATCTCATTTATGTAGGGGATGGTGATAGTTGTGACGTTTCGCAGTATATCCTGCATTCCACTTTCATCTATCTATCACCAACAAATTTCATTCTCAATGGTCAACGTGAAGTCATGTCAGCACACATCATATTCTACGTTCCGCTTACACAACAGATGCTTTATTATAGTCAACATTTACGTGATGAAGTGGCGCGGGATAGTGATTGTTGATGGCCATTTGCTTCATTGTTCATCCGTTGGAAGCTCCTTCTTTTTTTTTTTCTTTTTGCGTTTGTCTAGACGCTAAAACGGATGCATTTAGTATAAACTGAAATGGATGCACGTTGTATAAATTTCGTACTCTATTTTTTTGGGATATGTTAATGTCATTAACTTTAAAGAAGTGGCGCGGGATAGTGATTGTTGATGGCCATTTGCTTCATTGTTCATCCGTTGGAAGCTCCTTCTTTTTTTTTTTCTTTTTTTTTTTCTTTTTGCGTTTGTCTAGACGCTAAAACGGATGCATTTAGTATAAACTGAAATGGATGCACGTTGTATAAATTTCGTACTCTATTTTTTTGGGATATGTTAATGTCATTAACTTTAAGTTAAATTATGATTATAGAATTAGGAATATATTTTTGAAATTAGTTTGCACCACAACCAAAGGCATTTTGTAGTTTAGAGACCTTTTTTTGTAACTACCATATGGCACCAATGCAACCATAAATTGGATCCCTTATACGTCGAAGACATGATTTGTTAGCTAAACATTTATAGAGTGAATATAACACCAAACAAAACGAAATACTCAGTGCACATCTCCATGGCTACCACAATACATTACATAACATCCAAATTACATAGCATTAAATGACCTATCCAAAGTAAAATAACAAATCCTAATTTAAATAACAACTGCATTGTCCCCTACAACTATATATCGGTCATTCACATTTCCTTTTGCAACTTCATTCTGAGCTCACTTTTCCTTTCTGTATTCTGACTATAATCTCCACATCTTGCTCATAACTTAGCCGACACATAGTTTCAAACATGCTGGATGCCTTTTGAACTAATTTGCTCTTTGCAGTTTTAGTGGATGTAATTGTTGCAACGGAACTTGATTCACGCTCTTTGACCCACTTCCAATATTCGCAATTCATGCTACAACAATTGAACATTTTTCCCTTGTTGTTAGTCTCCTTCGCAACAACAAAATACTTGACAAAAGCATGTTTACACCACGGGCACAGCCACTTGTTTGGACAATCCTTGAACAAATGATCGTTACGTCTACAACCATGACAAACACCACGATTATTTGCCGCCATAGTAAATTGCATATCAAGCACATACAAATAATGTCAGCACAGCGCAATGACTATTTCAAATAACTACATAACAAATTGGATAATCAAATGTTTGAGCAAGTCGAATAAGAACACTCATCTGGTTCATTTTCAATTTCCGTACACACAACAAGGCAATTCTAATATCTACAACTTCTAGTCTTTAATCACCTCATGCAATAAATTTGTGACATTCTAGATAATATCAAACTTGTATACGCAATTAGTTTCAAAGTGCACAAAATCTCGAATTATGCTCGAAAGGTATGGTCAAATACAACCATAAATACCCACAGTTTTTGTCGAATTAGGCAAATATACCTATGACCAACAACAACGACACACCCATATAAACCAAATCCGGTGCTTACCGAATGTTCGCTACAAATTCCATCAAAGAAGGAGATTGTTGGTACTCCAACGTATGTCAAACAACGAATCAAATTCCGTCGAAGGAGAAGGAGATCTATGTTCTTTGCTTCTTTTCGGTTTCGGCCAATGGTGGAGGTTAGTGTGGGGACCAGTCTCGATTTGGGTTTGATTTGGTTTGGTTTGGAATGACGGTGGCGAAAAGGGGAAATAACGAAAGAGCTCTTTTTTTTTTAAATTGTGAAAGTTTTTCATTTTTTGATTAACAACCACTTCAACGGTTTTTTCTGTATTATTTTTTATTATTTTTTATTTTTTATTTTTGGATTTAACAGTCAAGTCAGCGATTTTGAAATTATGTACTCATTCGGGTAAGACTATCCTGTACCTATAGCTGGACTGTTCAACCAAAATAAAAATAGGTCACACAATCTAATTTCAAATTTTTTGAGTCTAGACATAATAAGAAGTTTCTTATTTTTATTATATTATACTTCAATTCTTTTAACAAGATTATTCATGATACTAATTAAATCATTAAGAAAGACAAAAAATAAAATAAAAAGGTATGCTCCTGATGATTCCTATAGACTTCGATTAGGTATTCAAATTTTTTGAGTCTAGACATAATAAGAAGTTTCTTATTTTTATTATATTATACTTCAATTCTTTTAACAAGATTATTCATAATACTAATTAAATCATTAAGAAAGACAAGAAATAAAATAAAAAGGTAGGTGGTAAAAATTTTCCACGTTTTCCCCATATGCAAGTTTGTTTCCATATCCCTCCCTCTCGCCTAGTCCTTGTGTATGTAACACTGATTTTTGTAAATGTCCATAAATGATGACTAAGAGGTCTCCAATGCGTTCCTCTAATTTTCATCTAAGTGGCATGCAAGTTGAGAGATTTTTAATTTAAGTGTAATTGATTTCTAATGAAAAACACTCAAGTTTAAAATTGGTCTCCGATAGGTTCTATTTCCAATAATGTTGTAAAGGTGTCTTTTATTTTCTTAGAATTAAAATAAAAAACTACATCTAAATTTGCATAGGAAATATAAATTTTGTTGAGTTAGCACGTTAAATAGATCTCTTAAATTTAGATGGAGCTTTAGACAATTTTTTTTTTTTTTGAATGTTAATAATATCAGCTTGACAAAGTTTTTGTCCGATTGTGTAGGAGTTGAATTTTTTAAAACATTGTCTATTTTCCTTAGGTAACATCCATTGACTAATCGAAGATGCTCTAAATTATCGAAGTTATTGTGCTCTCGTGGATTTTAGCTCACCGAAACTTGTTATTCTATCTCCCTAATATATATTTGACAGTTTAGCACATTGCAAATGATAGTATGAACATACCATTTTTGACATAAAAAGGGATATAGATATATATTGAGAAGGGTATAGTAACATATTTTAGCTACCTCTTACAATTACATATCAATCATAGAGTGTGGTCTTCACTTGGTAGAACCCAAGACACACTTTGGAATGAAAAGGTAATTGAGAGTGGAAATGGAAAAGGCAAGAGACAAATGGAGTTTAAGAAGAGGTCAAGTGTTTGTGCAAACACCACATTAGAAAAGGAACAAAATGAAAAGTTTTACAGTATTAATAGTAGTAAGATATTTCATTTCAGTGCCATCAATTCACCAAATTAATCCCTTTTTCTCTCCACATTCACATTTGCACCCACTTTTCCTTACATGATATGACATATTTCTCACAATGCGATCATGTTAACATCCCACCGCATATTCTCCTTCTTTCTTTCGAAGGAGAGGAAAAAAGGAGAGAAAAAGGAAAAGATAAAGAAAAAGGGATTTCCACTGTAAAAACATAAAGTCATGAACTTATCAAGACAATGATGCCTACCAGAATTCACTTTATAATTAAAAAAAAGAAGAGGAAAAAGAATTCACTTTATTTGGCACATAAATTCACCCATCTTTATATCATCAACAACTTCCAATGTAAAAAGGCTTCTAAGCAAATTGAAAACTAAGTTTGGTTGTCAAGTGCGTCTACAAATGGGAGAAAAGTAGTTGAATATGACATATTATTTTTGTCCAATAAATAATTAATTTTACGAAGACTTTTTTTCCGTAATGACAAATAAATGGGTGACAAATGCTAAGCACCAGTGTGGCTGAATAATATTATTATGATAATTGACATGCTTGTTCAAAATAACAACAAAATCCCGGCTAAATTAGTGCAACTAAATTTGAGGACATGCATGTGAATATGTCTTTGAAAGTCAGGAATTGCAGATTCAAAGATCAAGAAAATTTCCTACGTGAAGCCAGTCATCTATTTACATCAATTTCCTTCAAATATTAGTTACAACGTACAAGTCAATTATTCAAAATGTGGAAACGTGTCTTATAATTGAAATCATAAAATTTATTTATTTTTTGTCTTCTTCTTTCAAGTATTTAATAAGGTACTAAAGAATATTCGTTTTTATTTAGATTTTACTTTAAAATCAAATGACAACGAGTTTGGAATATTATTTCAAAATAATTGAATGGAGAGGTCCTTGTCAAATCTTCCGCTAAGAAATTCAAATAAACAAAATATTGGTTGATTGACATTTTCATTTATTAATAAACACACAAGTAAAAATTTCTAGTCCTCGGCAATATTTAAGAAAATTGAAGAAAACAAACTCAAATTTAATATATTGTACTATTCAATTTTGTCTAGAATTATTACTTGTGCAAGGTTTATTAAAGTGACGGAGTCATGAATGCATGCTCTAAAGTTTGCTCGTTTATTTAGGAGAGATTTTTCTAGTAAAAATGATAATTTAGGAATATGTGGTTGAAAATAGGGATCAAAGTCATGATTTTGTAAAATGTATAAGTTGAAATAATTTTGAAGAAATCTAATTTTTTAAAAATTTCTTTCAAAATAAAGCCGCAAAAGTATTAAAACTTCGAATATATTAAAGAAAAAATGAATAGAAAATAAAATAAAAATATGGTTGCATTTTATTATTCTTACACATTCGCGTTTGTATACAATTTAGCACTGTCTGAACCCTATTCTACAAAAACTTTATTTTTCTTAAATTTATTTTTAATAACACGTTCTCTCGATAAAATTTGGATAAAATAATTTTAAATATAAATTTAATTTTTTTCCTACTTTTGAACCATATATTCTCGAAATATCACTATTAAAAATTTTCTTTGAGCTAAAAATGAACTATCCAAAATTTATACTATAAAACATAAACTATATGAGTAGTGAATGGATGAAAATAGATCGAGAGTTTTGTGGTTTAACACGTAGTGAATGAGTGGTGAATGAAAGGGTGGCCCATTGACACGAGCGAATGATGAGAATTTCTTTGAGCTAATGATGGATTTCCACCGTTTCTTCCACTGTGTGGGCTCCCTCGCACACTTCCACAAAACTTTATGTTTGACCGATATTTAACCTGTCAACTCAACATTTTTGCTATCATTTTTATGGTTTCACTTATGTTAAATGCCACGTGTGACCAGCTAATTAACATTAATGACATGGAAAATTGCATATTATGTCCTTATTCTTTTGTCTAATGTAACGCTTAAGTTTTTACAATCCATCTTTCGCTCGACCTCGGATAACGTTACATTTCCATCCATTTATCCTTGACATT